AAAATCTATGGGATGCAGCAAAAGCAGTTCTGAGAGCGAAGTTCATAGTACTACAGGCCTACCTCAAAAAACAAGAAAAATCTCTAATAGACTATCTAACCTCACAACGTAAAGAACTAGAAAGCAAACAAAAAGGAAACCCCAGAGCAAGTAGAAGGAAGGAAATAGTAAAGATCGGAGCAGAAATAAATGACATGGAGACCAAAAAAAAACAATTCAAAGGATCAATGAAAGAAAGAGCTGGTTCTTTGAGAAGATAAACAAGATTGATGGACCCTTAGCTAGACTCACCAAGAAACAAAGAGAGAGAACCCAAATACACAAAATCAGAAATAAAAGAGGAGAAATAATAACTGACACCATAGAAATATAAAGGATCGTTAACAAATATTATGAACAATTATACGGCAACAAATTCGACAATCTAAGCAAAATGGACAAATTTCTAGAAACACATAGTCTCCCAAAACTGAACTGGGAAAAGATAGAAAACGTGAACAGACCAACAACAACAAAAGAAATTGAAGATGTAATTAAGACTCTCCCAGCAAACAGAAGCCCAGGCCCAGACGGCTTCACAGGGGAATTTTACCGAACATTCAAAGAAGAACAAATACCCATTCTCCTCAAACTCTTTCAAAAAAATTCATGAAGGAGGAAGACTTCCAAACTCGTTTTATGAGGCCAGCATAATTCTAATTCCAAAACCAGAAAAAGACACTACAAAGAAAGAAAACTACAGGCCAATATCCTGATGAACATAGATGCCAAAATCCTGAACAAAATACTAGCGAATCGAATCCAGCAATACATCAATAAAATTATTCACCATGACCAAGTGGGATTCATCCCAGGGATGCAAGGCTGGTACAATATTCGCAAATCAATAAATGTGATACGCCACATACACAAAATAAAAATAAAAGTCATATGATCATATCAATAGACACTGAAAAAGCATTCAACAAAATCCAACACCCATATCTGATATAAACGCTCAGCAATCTGGGAATAGAGGGATCATATCTCGACATAATAAAGGCCATATATGAAAGACCTACAGCCAACATCATACTCAATGGGAAAAACCTAAAAGCATTTCCCTTAAGAACAGGAACAAGACAAGGATGCCCACTTTCGCCACTCTTATTTAACATAGTACTGGAAGTCTTAGCCACAGCAATCAGACAGGAAGAAAAAATAAAAAGGATCCAAATTGGAAAGGAGGAAGTGAAACTGTCCTCATTCGCAGATGACATGATACTACACGTAGAAAACCCCAAAGACTCCATCAAAAATTTACTAGACTTAATAAATGAATTTGGGAAAGTAGCAGGATACAAAATTAACATCAAGAAATTGACGGCATTCTTATACACCAATGATGAACTCACAGAAAGAGAAACTAAAAAAATAATCCCTTTTACCATCGCAGCAAAAAAATTAAGATACCTAAGGAATAAACTTAACCAAAGAGATAAACGACCTATTCACAGAAAACTACTGGTCATTGAAAAAGGAAATAGAGGAAGATATAAAAAAGTGGAAGCACATACTTTGTTCATGGATTGGAAGAATTAACATCATTAAAATGTTCATACTACCCAAAGCAATCTATAGATTCAATGCAATCGCCATCAAAATACCAACGACATACTTCACAGAACTAGAACAAATACTTCAAAAGTTCATATGGAACCAAAAAAGACCCGAATAGCAACAGCAATCTTGAAAAAAAAAAAAAAAACAACGTTGGAGAGATCACATTACCAGATTTCAGGTTATACTACAAAGCCACTGTAATCACAACAGCCTGGTACTGGCGCAAGAACAGGCAGATAGATCAATGGAACAGAATAGAAAACCCAGAAATGGACCCAAGACAATATGCTCAATTAATATTTGACAAAGGTGGCAAGAGCATACAATGGAGTAAAGACAGCCTCTTTAATAAATGGTGTTGGGAAAATTGGAATGAAACTAGACCATCAAGTTACACCCTACACAAGAATAAACTCAAAATGGATAAAAGACTTAAATGTGACTCATGAATCCATAAAAATCCTAGAAGAAAATGTAGGCATCAAAATTTCAGACATCATACACAGCAGAATTTTCACTGATATATCACCTAAGGCAACAGAAACAAAGGAGAAAATGAACACATGGGACTACATCAAACACAAAAGCTTCTACACAACAAAAGAAACAACTACCAAAATGGAAAGGCTACCCACTCTATGGGAGAGCATAACTGCCAATGATACATCAGATAAGGGGTTAATTTCCAATATATATAGAATGCTCATGCAGCTCAACAAAAGGAAGACAAAGAAGCCAATTTAAAAATGGGCAGAGGAACTAAATAGACACCTCTCCAAACAGGACATACAAATGGCTAAGAGACATATGAAGAAATGTTCAACATCACTAATCATCAGAGAGATGCAAATTAAAACAACAATGAGGTATCACCTCACACCTGTCAGAATGGCCGCCATCAACAAATCATCAAACAACAAGTGTTGGCGAGGGTGCGGAGAAAAGGGGACTCTAGTACACTGCTGGTGGGAATGCAGACTGGTGCAGCCACTATGGAAAACAATATGGTGTTACTTCAAAAAATTAAAAATTGAACTGCCAGCTGACCCAGTGATCCCACTTCTAGAAATATACCCTAAGAAGCCTGAAACACTAATCAGAAAGAATATATGTACCCTCATGTTCATAGCAGCACTATTTACAATCACTAAGATCAGGAAACAGCCTAAATGTTCATCAGTAGACAAATGGATAAAAAAGCTGTGGTACATATACACAATGGAGTACTATGCAGCTGTAAGAAAGAAAGATTTCTTATCCTTTGAGACGACATGGAGGGACCTGGAGAGTATTATCCTAAGCGAAACAAGCCAAGCAGAGAAAGACAAATATTACATGATCTCACTTATTTGTGGAATATAATGAACATAACAGTCTGAGGAACGGGGTAGTCCCAGAGACGTGGAAGTGGGGTACAAACTGACAATCCCCATAAGAGCGGGTGGGGGAAGAGATAAACCACAGAACTTATATGCATGTATGCATGAACAATGGACATGGACAAAAAAGCTGGGGATAGGGTGGGGAGGGTGGAGGAGGGGATTATCAGTGGGGGAAAAAGGAGAAACATCTGTAATAAAAATAAATTAATTAATTAAATAAAAAAAATATTACTCCTTTAAAGCAGCCCATAGACCTTGACTGCACAACAAAATCACCTATAGGAATTGCTAAATATTTGAAGGACAAAGCCCAATCATAGGCCTAATCAATCAGAATCTGGAGGGTTAGATTTCCAGGCAACAATATTTATCTGATATATAGACATGATATAGAACTACTTCAAAAGGCATAAATTTTACAGTTTATAGAGGTCTAGGACAAACTCAAACCAAAAAGAAAGAAAGAAAAAAAAAACCTCTATATTCTCTTTAGATTTGGAGTAAAGGACTGTATCTTTCACCAAAAACTTCCACTGAGACCATCTTAAATCCCAACAGTAATGATCCCACAGGGAGACAAACAAAGAAATGAACATTTTTTTCTCTCTCTTTTTTCCTATCCTACCTAGGGCCATTCTGATGCCAATCCACCACCAAAAGTGTAAGAATTGGGCAAATAAACTCAAATCTGGAAGGCCCCCCCAAAGAAGTGACTACTGATTATGGAACCATTCTAGTTTTTAAAAATCAGCTTCAGGGGTTTTGATGAGATTCATAGTTCTGGAAAGGGGAACTACGTCAACTTTATTTCCACACTCTGATGAAACATACCCCTTGGACAAGCCTAATAATGGTGGCACTTTGTTTTGTTTTGTTTTTTGACAACTCTATAAGGAATGGTATACAAGCATTAAAGATATTTCTAGGAGCTGCCCTTTCCAATCTCCTGAAGAATGTCAATATCCTGCCCTGGGCAGGCAGCTCAGTTGGTTAGAGCATCATTCCAATACACTAAGGCTGTGAGTTGATTCCCGGTCAGGGCACATACAAGAAGCACCCAATGAATACATAAATAAGTAGAACAACAAATCGATGTCTCTCCCTCCGCCCTTCCTCTCACTCAAAAATCAATCAATAAATAAGATTTAAAAAGAAAAAGAGTGTCAATATCCCCAAACAGCAAGGAGGTCAATTTCAGAGGCTCCATGTCTTAAGCCACACCATCTCTCTAAAGCAGCTTTACCTGTTCTTCTACCCTAACTCTGCTCTGGCCTCATCTGCTCAAAGTTTCAAATAGCAAAGGACAGGGAAGGCATTTCATACACTCACCTAAACCACACAGAGGATGTCTGGTAGGATGCAGTTCTGCTCTAACCCACAACAGGGCCTGGGCCTTTTCCAGTCACCCTCCCTATCTAACAAAGACAGACCGCAGAAACTTCCCTCTCTCAAGCAAGCCTTCCCTGATTAACACTATAAGGCTGAATTCCCCCAGGGAGGAGAATGGAATTTTCTTGTTGCAGATTATTGCAGGACTTAAAAACTCTGTGCCAGTAGGGGCTAAGTGACAGTGAATAAAGAGACAAGTCCAGCATTTAGAATTATGAAGCATCAAGAAAACCTGGTTTACAATTATTACATAGCCTGAAGAAGAAAAATAAAAGCAATTATGATTGCACTTGAGTAAATTCCCCCCTATAAATACCCACAACTTCAATAAGGTGATTACAATACTTTCAGGATTAAAAAATACAGTGTGGGGCAAAAGTAGGTTTACAGTTGTTCATACAGAAAATAATACATTAATAAATAATACAATAAACTATTTCATGTGCTCACAACTATAAACCTACTTTTGCCCCACCCTGTATATTTTATTTATATGCTGAAATTAACCATATCACTTTCCAAAATAAATAATTTTAGGACATGCTCTCATAACATCCATAGATAAAACATACACACACACACACACACACACACACACCATCTGAGTTATAAATAACAGATACCAACCTGGCTGTCCCGTGCTGGGAATCCATGATAACCTGGGGTCAAAGGCTCGTTCTAAAAGAAAGAAAGAATAAGAAAATTTTAAGAATAATCAAAATCATCCAAACTGATCAAATATAAATTCCTGCACCAGATCCTAAGGCGTTCTGTTGCTACAGTCCCTTCTTCCTAACTACATATATTTCCCAGTTCAGCCTCTACAATGGCAAAAAATAAAAAACAAACAAGAAAAGCAGTATTTGCTTACAAACACTACTCATAAACACTGTTTTCCTCCTTGTACACCTAAATCTATTTCCTTCCCAGTATATATCAACCAGGGTACTACCAGGCAGAACCATTCCTAACCGCACACTGTGCTCGAGCAACCCCAGCCCCTAACTACTGAAAGCCAGTAAGCAGTCCTGAATACCAGGACAACCCAAAATGTCCACACATTTCCAAAAGTCCCCTGGTTAGAAAGGGGACAGTACAACCCCTATGAGAACTACCTCTTGACCTGGAAAAGTTTTAGCTCCTCTCCTCTCCCAATCTGCTTTCTTCAGTTCTTTTAAACCTAGATGAAATGCTACCTCTGTTCCAGACCTCCTCTACTACCCTGTATCATCTTATGGACTCAAATAACTCCTAACATGTATATATGTTAAAATGTGTTTAGGTTACTTGTACAATTTACTTTTCATATTACTTATGACTCAATAGATCTTATTTTTGTTAAGGTGTATCATACTGAATCTCTCATATTCATATTAATTATCAGATCTACATCTTTGAGGACAAGAATGATAGCTAATAAAAGCTATACACACCCTAATTTAGTATAAGGTCATACAATATGAGCTCTCATTTATGGCTTACTTGACCCATTCAACCATTCAGTCAATATATATTGAATACCTAAATATTTTCAAAATACTGTTAGATGACTGAGAGTAAGAAAAATAGAAAAAACAAGTCCCTTGACTTCAAGGGAACTTTTAAATGGGAGGAGATAAGATATATGTGTACATAAAGGTGTAAATAAGAACACATGATGCTTTTGTAATTGTTTCTTCAAAGTGCTTAACACAGCTACCTGAAGATCCTCATCTTCTTCCATCCATTTGTACTTTCATTCCTACTAGTACAAGTTAAGAAGACTTTTCATTGATAGGGCTTTCATATATGACAAGAGTGTAAACTTTTTACCTAATCGTACATCATACTTTGAGTATATCCATAGCTTTTATAATCAAAAGTCTATACTCTTTTCAAAAGCATGAAAGCCAGGATTCAGCTTGAGCTCACATACAGAGATCCTATGTCATGTTCGTCATGGTTTCCCTGTGACCTAGCAGTGTCTAATACAGGGTGAACACCCAAAAGAATGAGTAAATAAGTAAATAAAGTTCAACAACCAGAAATTATTTAGGCATCCAGTCACTGATTCAATCCTAGACAATCTGGTTCTTCTATTTTTATTCCTAAGTCTTTATTTGGACATTTATAAATTAAGTCTCTCCAAAGAAAACACACCAAAGATAACTGCCTTTAAAAAGCATAGGTGCCAAAACAATCTTGAGAGAGAAGAGCAAAGTTGGAAGGACTCACACTTCCTGATTTCAAAGTTTACTATAAAATTCAGTAATCAAGGTAGTGTAATATTAGCATAAGGACAGACATACAGACAAATGCAACACTACTAAAAGTCCCAAAATAAACCTTTACAATTCTGATAAATTGATTTTTGAAAGGGTGCCAACAACAACAAAAAAAATCAGTGGAGGAAAAAGTCTTTTCAACAAATGCTGCTGGGACAACTAGATATCCACATGTAAAAGAATAAAGTCGGAGCTCTATCTCACACCATATACAAAATTAATTCAAAATACATCACAGAATTAAAACCACAGAACTCTTAGAAGAAACACAGGAGTAAATCTTCATGACCTTTGATCAGGTAATAATTTCTTCAATATGACACCAAAAGCAGAAGTAACATAGGATAAAATAAATAAATTGGACTTCATCAAAATTAAAAAACTTTTGTTCTACAAAGAACACCACCAGTTCTGAGGATCTAATGCACAGCATAGTGGTTATAATTAATAATACTATATTACATACTTGAAAGTTGCTGTCCTGGCCGGTTTGGCTCAGCAGTTAGAGAGTCGGCCTGTGGTCCGGAGAGACCCGGGTTCGGTTCCCGCTAGGGGCATGTACCTTGGTTGCAGTTTGTCCCCGGCCCTGGTTGGGTCGTGTGGGTGGCAGCCGCTCGATGTGTCCCTTTCACATCGATGTTTCTCTCTCTGTCTCTTCCTCCCACTCTATCTCAACAAAATACTGAAAAATGTCCTCGGGTTAGGATTAAAAAAAAGTTGCTAATGATATAACATGATGCAGGTTAGCTAAGGCTAATGGTGGTAATCACTTTGCAATATATAAGTGTATTAAATCAACACATGGTACACCTTAATCCTACACAATGTTATACAATTATAACTCGATAAATCTGAGGGGAACACACCACCAAGTAAAAAGAAAACCCACAGATAAGGGACTTGTATTCAGAATATAGTATGAAGAACTCTTACAACTCAACAAGAAAAAGACAACCCAAATTTTTTTTTCTTTATTGATTTTTAGAAAGAGGAAGGGAGCGGGAGAAATAGAAACGTTGATGAGAGTGAACACTAACTGGCCACCTCCTGCATGCCCCGCACTGGGAATTAGGCCCACAACCTAGGCATGTGCCCTGACTGGGAATTGAATCGGCGACCTCTAGTGCCATGGGTCGACGCTCAACCACTGAGCGGCTGGGCAACAACCCAAATTTTAAAATGAGCAAAGGGTCTGAATAGGAAGTTCTCAAAAGAAGATATACAAATGGTGAATAAGCACATGAAAAGATCCTCAATAGCATTAGTCATTAAGGAAATGCAAATCAAAACCAATGTGAGATAACATTTCATACCCACGAGGATAACTATAACAAAAAAGTTGTCCAATAACAAGTATTAGAAAGGATATAAAGAAATTGGAATCTCATACATTGACAGTGGGAATGTAAAATGGTACAGCCACTTTGGAAACAATTTGGTAGACCCTCAAAATGTTAAGATAGAATTATACCATATGACCTAGCAATTCCACACCTAAGCATAATGAAGAAAATGAAAATATACATCACCCAAAACCTTGTACACAAATGTTCATAGTAGCATTATTTTATAATAGCCAAAAAGTAGAAACAATCCAAATGTCCATCAATTGGTAAATGGACAATGTGGTTTATCCATAATTGAATAATATGCAGGAATAAAAAGAAATGGCCCTGGCCAGTTTGGCTCAGCGGTTAGAGCGTCGGCCTGCAGTACAGAGAGACCCGGGTTCGGTTCCCGCTAAGGGCATGTACCTTGGTAGCGGTTTGTCCCCGGCCCTGGTTGGTCGTGCGGGTGGCAGCCACTCGATGTGTCCCTTCACGTCGATGTTTCTCTCTCTCTCTCTCTCTTCCTCTCTCTCCCTCCCGCTCTATCTGAACAAAAAATGGAAAAATGTCCTCGAGTGAGGATAAAAAAATAAAAAAATGAAAAAGAAAAAGAAATGAAGTACTGATAAAGCATGAGTGAATCTTGAAAACATAAATGCTAAGTGAAAAAAGCCAGGAAAAAAGGCTACAAACTGTGTGATTCCATTTACATAAAATATCTAGAATAGGCAAATCTATGGAGAAAGAAAGTAAATTAGTCGTTCTAGAAGCAAAAGGGGAGGAATGGGGAGTGATTACTAATGGGTACTAGGTTTATTTTTGGTAACGAGAATATTCTGGAATTAGGTTATGGACACACAATGTTATGATTATATACTAAAACCCACCAAAACACTAAAAATATTTTAAAAGAGTGAGATTTATGGTCTGTGAATTATATGTCAATAAACCTATTATTTAAAAATAACAACTGCAAGCAATGTTGGCTATTTTCACACAAATTTTTACAAGGGAGACATGTATAGCTTAGACTGTTAACCGAAGAACAGGGCTTCTTCTGAAATCCACAAGTGCCTTGTTTGTTCTGAATTCTATTTCAGCACCATTCCCTAAAGATTTTAACAGTGATGATGACAAAGATGGTAACACTAGATACTGAGCAACTGATCAGGTATAGTTTCAGGATGGAGAGGAGGAAGAGAAAGCTGCAAAGAGGAAATGATAAAGTATAGCTATTAAATGGTAAAGTCAAACTTTCAACTTGGGTCTGTTGGACTCCAAAGCCCCTGCTCTCTCCATTTTATCAAGTTCTCTTCTCTAAAACCATTCCACATTATTCCTTTACAGTGACTATTTCAAGACTGAGAACGGAATTTTATGATTAAGAAAGTAAGTAATCAAAAATATCCAAAAGCATAATTAACAGAGATTTGTCACACCCAGAGAACATCCACGTTTAAACCATATTCTTTTTTTTTTTAATCCTCACCCGAGGACATTTTTCCATTTTTTGTTCAGATAGAGTGGGAGAGAGAGGAAGAAAGAGAGAGAGAGAAACATCGACGTGAAAGGGACACATCGAGTGGCTGCCGTCCACACAACCAACTAGGGCCAGGGACAAACTGCAACCGAGGTACGTGCCCTTAGCGGAAACTGAACCCAGGTGTCTCTGGACTGCAGGCTGATGCTCTAACCGCTGAGCAAACCGGCCAGGGCTAAACCGTATTCTTACATTCAACAATGCAGAAAACTTTTTATAAGAAAATCACATTCCTACAAGCCAATACTGTCAAAAACTTTAACAGCAAAGACAAATAAATAATAGCACAGAGATGCACCGAGAAATAGATTTATTCCTCCACTTGCCTTGGCAAAGCAGTATTCGTCTTATGTCTCCATCTTTCGAATAGGCTATTTGGAACTCTCCAGCCCTCAGAAATTCCAGCTCTCTGAAAGTGACCTATACTTAATGGCAAAAGCTTGTTTTCCTTTTTAACTGTACCATGCACATATCTCTCCCTTCAAAATATATTAACTTGGCATGTTTTTGAAGTTTATAAAAATGGATCCTATTGTATGTATTATT